CGGTGGATTCACTGTCCGGTCCCCGGGAGGAAGGGGCCTGGCACCTGCTGCCCTCGGCCGGGAGGACGTGGTGCTGAGGACCAGCCAGACACGGAGGGGCCGGCCCTGTGTGACCCTCGTCCATGACACGTCCCGAAGAGGCAGGGCCAGAGAGACGGGGTGGACAGGGTGTCCTCGGGGCTGGAGGGGGAGAGGGGAGTGACAGCTGGTGGGTCCAGCGTCTCCTTTTGGGTGATGGAAAGTTCTGGAGCGAGACAGGTGGGGATTGCACAGCATGTGGACGCACCAGCTGCCACCGAGTCGTGCACTTTGTAGTGGTCGGCGTGGATTTTGTGTTGTGTGTGCTTTGCCGCATACACATGGAGGCACGTCCCTCACACCCACCCCTGTGCACACGCAGACACGCCCCTCACGCCCACCCCAATGCACATCCCTCACACCCACCCCTTGTGCACACGCACGCACGCCCCTCACGCCCACCCCTTGTGCACATGCACGCACGCCCCTCACACCCACCCGTTGTGCACACGCACGCATGCCCCATACCTTGTGTGTGCTTTGCCGCATGCACACACAGGCACACCCCTCACACACGCCCCTCACGCCCACCCCAGTGCACATCCCTCATGCCCACCCCTTGTGCACACACACACCCCACACACACCCCTCGCGCACGTGCACAGAAGCCCCTCACGCCCGCCCTCTCCTCCAGCCACCACATCGGCCTCAGCATCGACCCCGCCGTGACGGCCGTCATGAGCATCTTCAGCCTGGTGACGGGGAAGAGGCCTCTGTTTGCGGCTCACGGGGGCAGCAGCAAGGAGAACCTGGCGCTGCAGAACGTGCAGGTGCGCCTCCCAGCCCCGCCCCGTCCCGTCCCCGCGTGACACTGACCATGCGGCCTCCCGGACAGGGCACAGTCGGCATGTGCACGTGTGTGTGTGTGTGTGAGCATGTAAGGGTCAGGGTGCGAGACAGCGTGCATGTGAGTATAAGTGTGCAAGAGTAAGCGTGTCTGAGGGGGTGCGTGGGTGAAGGTATGTGTGAGCACAACCATGTATGTGAGTTTGAAAGTGTGCGAGTGAGGTGAGGCTGTGAGTGTGCATGTGGGTTGTGAGCATCTGTGAGTGCACAAGTGTGTGTGCACGCGTGCACAGGAGTGGGTGTAGGGGTGTGAATCGGCACTGGTGTGAGTGTGAGATGGGAGTGTGCACAGTGTGTGTGCATACAGTGTGTGTGTGTGTACAGTGTGCGCACAATGTGTGTATGTGTGTGCGCGCGCAGTGTGTGTGTGTGTGTGTGTGTGTGTGTGTGTGTTCTGCATCTTCGGTGAGTGGCTGCCTCCGGGGAGCTGGACGCTGGCCGGCTGCCCTGAGCTCGGGCCACTCGTAGCGGGTCTCTCTGTCCCGTTCCGCTGGGCATGCGGCCTCCCCTCCTCCAGGGAGGCCAGCAGACGCGGCCAGGTTCCTCCCAGCCACTGTGCAGCCCAGTCCCGCCACCAACACTCAGCCCCAGGCCCTAGGCCAGTGGTTCTCAACCTCTGGCCCTTTAAATACAGTTCCTCATGTTGTGACCCAACCATAAAATTATTTTCGTTGCTACTTCATAACTGTCATGTTGCTACTGCTATGAATCGTCATGTAAATATCTGATATGCAGGATGGTCTCAGGCGACCCTGTGAAAGGGTCGTTCGACCGCCAAAGGGGTCGCGACCCACAGGTTGAGAACCGCTGCTCTAGGCCCTTCCGCCTTTGACTCGGCCCTGCCGAGCGTGCATGGGCACCGTGATGGGCAACCCAGGAGGCATAGCAGGGCGCCCGCACGCCGCCTTCCCCGGAGCGAGGAAGCCGAGAGC